CTACTAAGGCCCTCGCGGACATATATTATTGCTAGCCAGATGCGGAAACCTGAGTGGACAAATAGGAGTGTGGGGCGTTAAAAATGACAAACATTTCTAAACCGGTGGCCTCTGAGTCTACATATTTCACTTGGTTCCCAGATGATGAGCATGTTTTGACAGCTATGTGTGCTCCCGGGTTAGGCGTTAACCATGGGTACGGACGTGGCGTGATACTGACTCTGTCTTGCACAAGTATGTGTGCCATCCAATGTGGAATGATGGCAGGTTTCTTGGCAGCCATTTGTAGACGGACTATTTCCAGCAAAAACAGTAACTTTCCAAGCAGTTCCAAGTGGCGTACCCAGTGAAGAACCGAAAAATGCACCAGCTTATAGACCCCCAGCTTTAAGAGATAAACCAATCACCAAGTCCTAGCTGCATGAGAAGGAACCGCCGCAGAATATGAAACCACAGCTGGGAAATAAGCCATTATCCAAAACAGCCCTTAAAAATCGAAGGAAACAGGAAGCTAAGAAAGCTGCAAGGCAGGAAGCAAGAAGTGACAAGCGTCTAGATCTGGCACCTACTCCTGCCCCACGGAGCTCAACACGAGATACTATCTCCCAGCCAACTTCTGGACACCCTGAAGTAGACAAAAAAATCCAGAACCTACAGAAGAAACTGAAAGCAATCGAACAACTGAAAGAACAAGCAGCAACTGGAAAACAGATGGGGGCGGGGGGGAGGGGGGGGAATCAGTTGGAGAAAATTCAAAAAGAGAAAGCCCTTCTCCAGGAGCTGGAAGATTTGGAAATGGGTATTTGAAGATTCACCAACAGCAAGTTGGTTAGCTGAGATCAGTGAAAACACATCCTCTATTACGTTCACTGGTGTATTCGGAATATTCATGTGTCCACATTTAACATTCATCTGTAATTTTAACCATTTTTCCAAGATTCTACATATGTGTGAAGTTATTTAGTAATGCCTATTAAATTGATTTTTGCATCCTGCATCCTATATCATGTTAACATGTGCTATAAAAAAGATATGAATGTTCTAGCTAAGTTTAACAGATTGTAGGACAAATGTCATTGTTTTTTAGTAGGGGACGGTATTTACCATATAAGTGAATAAAATCCTTTCTTTAAAAATTTATATAATATGTTCTTTTTTATTGAATTTATTGAGGTGACATCCTATATAATAAAGAGCTAATATGCTAATTAGACCAAACAGCAGAACAACCGTCCAGATGACCTTCCGGACGAAGCTGGGGCTGCGAGGGCCAGCCAAGGCAGCCGGGCTGCGAGGGGCTTTGAGAACTGAGTCTCTTACACGAATTTCATGCATCGGGCATCTAGTTGGTTAATAAAATTATACAAGTTTCAGGTGTACACTTCTACAGTACATCCACTGTATATTGTATTGTGTGGTTACCACCCCACATCAAGTGTGCTTGATCACCATTTATCCCATTTTAAATTTTAAAATAAGAGTATACCTGCCCTAGCCAGTTTGGCTCAGTGGATAGAGCGTCAGCCTGCGGACCAAAGGGTCCCGGGTTTGATTCCGGTCAAGGGCACGTACCTCGGTTGCAGGCTCCTCTCCGGCCAGGCCCTGGTCAGGGCGCGTGCAGGAGGCAACCAATCCATGTGTTTCTCTCACACTGATATTTCTCTGTCTTTCCCTCTCTCTTCCACTCTCTGAAAAGCAATGGAGAAAATATTCTCGAGTGAGGATTAAAATAAACAAACAAACAAACAAACACCTTAAATAGGTACCGTTTATTAAATATTAATAAAGCTGTTCAAAACAACAACATCCACCATGAAACTCCCAATATTCAGGCCCTATCCCAAGAGATTCACTCTCATGGCCTGGAATGGGGCCAACGCCGGTGCTTCTTGCCTGCAGGTGGTTCTCAGGTGTGGTCCTGGTGAGAACCCCTGCATTAACGCCTTTTCCTGGAGTTACACTCCCAAACCACTGAAAGGATTCGCGGTAATAAGGACATGGAGGGCAAGGAGTTGGAGAAGGGAGAAGTGTTACAAGGAGTTATTAAACCCAAACTGGCTAAAGCGATGGCTTCAGCAGAGAATAGCTGGCTCCACTAGGGGGCATCTGGACACTTCTCTTCAGCATGATCTCCAGAGGAGCTGGAGCCTGGCTGCCGGAGGGATGTCGTGAAAGGGAGTGCTGAGCAGACAAAGATACCCGGGCTCGTAGGCATGAAAACGATCAGCAACTTGGGAAGACGTCAGCAGGGTCCAATGTGCTCTCCTGGGTCTGACTTTATAGGCAGAGTGAATTCGATTGTTGCCATTTCAGTGTCGTTTGAGGTTCAAAGGTCAGAGCTACTGATTCAGGACCGAGTCACTCCTGGAGAGTAAGCACAGGAAGTTCTCGAGGAGAAGACCACATGTCTAAAGCCTGCACCACGGAGCAGAAATCACTGCCTCCAGATCACCAGCACGCAGTCTCCTCTCCCTTAAGGAACGTTCCTTACATTTTTTTACTTTGCTTCTCCTAAGCCACTCAGTCACAGGACACCATGACCGGCCCGCTCTGTTTGCTGTGACTCAGGTCCTCCTCTGCTGCTTTCTGTAGCCATTACCTCTCTGCAGGGGTCCCTCTCCGTTTTAGTCCCCCTGCCACAGTCTGGCTTCTGCTATGCGGAGCCACAGTCACTTTCCTAAGTGATCACACATATTCAGTCAACCCTTTAAGGGTCACGCAGGTAGGCGGTCATGATTTAAAGGGGGGCACTTTATTTAGGTCTGCTGTTTGTGCTTCACATCAGGGAACATAAAGCAAGTCCCCAAAGGATGGACCAAAACACACGGAGGAGTAACAGCCCACATCAATAGATTTTCAGTTCTCCCCAGAACCCATCAGGAACCAGAGGCCCAAGTGGGCCCTCAGGTCCGCAGGCCCTGGAGCAACGCATCTGCTTTGTCAGCTTAGTTCTGTCACAGCTCCCCAGTCTCCAGTTAATTCTGGCACCAGGATCACTCCGGCCATGGCTCTGTGAGGAGGCACAGCTGAAGTACCTTAGATAATGGGCCCCTGTGAACCCAGCGTAGTGCTCGCTTCCATCTGCTCTACATGTGGGGATGCCACTTATGATTTCTTTCTTTCTAAAAAATATGTTTGTATTGATTTGAGAGAGAGAGAAAGGACCGTCGATCGGTTACTTCCTGTACACACCCCAGGATAAAACCTGCAACCTGGGTATGTGCCCTGACTGGGAATGAAAACAGCAACCTTTGGGTGCATGGGGCGATACTCAACCGAGCCACACCGGCCAGGGCCACTTATAATTTCTTTAAAGGATTCTGCTGCTAGAAGTTTACAAAGCACTTTCCTACATTCTTCTGAAATATTCTCCTTACAAACCTAAGCCGTGGTGCAGATTGGGGTACACAGTTTTCAAGTCACTTGAGAGAATGAGTTCCTTCCCTCCACAGAACACCTCCTCCAGACTTTGAAGACAGAGCATCTCCCAGATGCTCGGGGCCCCTCCAGAATTACACAAGTTCCTTCTGTGTTATTAGCACAGCAGGTCTCAGTCATTGGATCAACAAGTGTTACCGGAAAGGTGACCTGGCCCTAAGCAGGTCTGCCTAGGGCCAGCCAGTAGTGTGTGGGTTCTTGATATCGTGTAGAAAAACATTCACGTGTCCAGGTGATTTTTTAGAGGATGTTTATTAAAGCTGGGGAGAGTAAAACAAGAAAGGACTGGGCAAGTGCGCCTAGGTTGGGCTCACTAAGAAGTCAGAATCGGGATTTCCCAAGGAGGAACTGCTGCTGTCCATTGCTGCCCTGATTGCAAGTCTTATGGGGGAGTCCCTTAGAGCAGTGGTTCTCAACCTTGGCTGCACATTAGAATCACCTGGGAATCTTTTTAAAATCCTGATTTCTGGGCCTCATCCTCCGGAAATTCTGTTTCTTTGTTACTAATTTTGTGGCCCCATCCCATAACAAAGAAACAGAATTTCCGGGAGGAGGAGGCCCAGAAATCAGGATTTTAAAAAGATTCCCAGGTGATTCTAATGTGCAGCCAAGATTGAGAACCACTGCCTTAGAGTTTAGGACAGTGATGGCGAACCTTTTGAGCTCGGCGTGTCAGCATTTGAAAAACCCTGACTTAACTCTGGTGCCGTGTCACATATAGAAATTTTTTGATATTTGCAACCATAGTAAAACAAAGACTTATATTTTTGATATTTATTTTATATATTTAAATGCCATTTAACAAAGAAAAATCAACCAAAAAAAATGAGCTTGCGTGTCACCTCTGACACGAGATGTCATAGGTTCGCCATCACTGGTTTAGGAGCTGCATGCCTGTGAGGGGTGAAGGGGAGGGGAAAGGCACAGGCATACTCCCCGCGGGGAGAGCTTTCTGGGTCTTCCTCCTAAAAGCTTTAAAGGATGGAGACCATAGGGGAGGTCTCAACAGAATATTCATCAGCTTCCCAGGTGGGTCCTTTCAGGATCCTGGTCTCCACTCACAGCTCAGTGGGGCAGGGGGACTTCAGTCAGTGCGGCTACTCCTGAGGTCGGCCCAGGAATAACCTGTCTGGTTTACTGCTTTCCTGGGCCTGGAGCTGAAACACAACTGAGGCCTAGACGTTATCTCCAGGGAGGTGACCTGTGTCTGGCTATAAACTGCTATCTGTCTCAGTTTCCCTAGTCCACTTGCCAAGGAATTTCCTAGCTTCTGACTAACCTGCCTCACAAGTACCGAGCACAGGAAAAGCCCATCAGGCCCAGCCGTAAGCCCCCCATTTAGGATGGGGAAGGGGCAAGGGGCGGGGGGTGTCTGCCTGCAAGAGGCCCAGCACCCGTCTCCCTGAGGAGGCCCCACGCCCCCACACTCCCTAGGGTTCCCCTCAGGAGCAGAGAAAAGCTTCCATTGAGGACACAGCCTATGCCAGGCTCTCAGGGCGGAAGAGGAGGAGTCCAACTGCCGCAAAGCTTCCTCGTCGCCTAGCAACGGCCTAACGCGGCGAGATGGAGAACAACAGCCGGGAGCTCCAGGCCAGGAAATATTTGGAAAAACATCGGATTATGGAGTTGCTGAACTATCTCACCAGTAACCTGCTCTTCTTCCAGCCAAGTAAGGGTCTTGCCTACCCCTCGGCTTTCTGTCCCACCCGCCTCCTCACAAGCAGCAGTTCCCAGAAATTCCCGGTGCAGCCGCTCCTCCAGCCGGGCGCCCCCACGTTTGCAGCCCTTCTGCTGCCAATTAAGGCTGTGGCCTTCAATTAGACAAATGCTAGTGAACGGCCCCTTTGTGCCTACCACCAGCCAGGTGGCCGCGGGACTCGGCCAGGTGGAGGGCTCCACCTGTCACTACTATGTGACGGGGCAAAAGCCGGAACCTCAGTCTCCTTTTTCTGGAAAATGGGGGTAGTGGTGCCGATCTCGGGGAAACGTGGGGAAGAATAAATAAATGAATTGCCCCTGTGTCTCGCAAGGATCAGGTGTTTCCAATGTTTCCCCGACCTCAACGAGTTTTTAATCTGGTAAGAGGGCTAAACAGTTGATAGGGCAAGATGGATCGGTGTTTTGGAGGAGAAGTCTTTTCCTGACATTTTTACACCTCTGACCCCCTTTAAAAACTTGAAACATTTCTTAATTTTTGTGCGGTGATTTCAAAATTACGTTAAGATGAAAGTTACGTTGATGTCCTTTTACCCAAATGCAAAATTGTACCTTGCCGGCCTCTCTCCACAAGACGTGTCCAAAATGCCAAATTTATCCACCTCTTCCTTCAAGGAAATGGAAATACCAAACACTCCAACTTTGCCCCACCCAACCAATACGATCATGTTTAGGGTAATCAAGCACTCTCTAGTTCTTTTAAATCGATAAAACAATAGAAACTCTGCAACAAATAAAAATAAGTAGTGGGGGGGGGGGAGTACAAAGGAATGCATTCTTTTACATTTTTTATTTATTGATTTGAGAGAGAGAAAGGGAGAGAGAAATATCCACGTGAGAGAGAAACATCCATGTGAGAGAGAAACATCCATTGATTGCCTCCGGTATGGGCCCCAACCCCCACAACCTACTTTGACATTTGATTTTATTCCGTCTGTCCTATTTCTGTTTCCCCTGGGCTTTGTTGTTGTTTTTTTATTTGTTTTAGTTTCTGAAGTTCATGTTGGAGACTTTCTTCAAATGTCACATGATCCTTTTTCTATCCATTTATATTAAAGAGTGAGGCACCAAAAAGATGGTAGGAAGATCTCTGTGCATAGGCATGATGGTATACTAAAGGACTCCACTGTAAGTTACATTCATCAAATGTTAAGTTGGTTGGAGCATTCTCCTGTACACCAAAAAGTTGCGGTTCCATTCCTGGTCAGGACACGTACCGAGGTTTTGGGTTCAGTTTTTGGTCAGGCATATTTGGGAGGCGACCAATGGATGTTTCTCTCTTACATCAATGTTTCTTTCTCTCTCCCTTCCTGTCTCTCTAAAAATTAATAAAAACATATCCTTGGGTGAGGATTAAAAAAAGAAGAAAAAAAGGAATGCACTTTTTAAAAAAAGCACTGGGGGGCCCTGGCCAGGTAGCTCAGTTGAGCATCATCCCCATAGGCCAAGGTTGCAGGTTCGATCCCCAGTCAAGGCGTATATACAAGAAGAAAAAAAAAGAACTAGTCCAGCTGGTGTGGCTCAGTGGTTGAGCTTTGACCTATGAGCCAGGAGGTTACAGTCCAATTCCCGGTCAGGGCACATGCCCGGGTTGCAGGCTCAATCCCCAGTAGAGGGGCAGCTGATCAATGATTCTTTCTCATCATTGATGTTTCTTTCTCTCCCTCTTCCTTCTTCTCTAAAGCCGATAGAAATTTTTTTTTTAAAAAGAGACCTTATCTTTTAGAGATATACATTCAAATACTTATTAATGAAATATGATTGCTACGATTTACTTCGAAATAACATAGGAAGAGGGGAACTGGATGAGATTATGGTCAAATAAGACGGGCACAAATTGTAACAGTTGAAGTTGGTAATGTTCGTTATACTTTTCTACTTTTATTTTATTTATTTACTAGAGGCCCAATGCACGAAATTCGTGCAAGAGTAGACCTTCCTTCTCCAGGCTGCTGGCACTGGCTTCCCTCTGGCACCTGGGACCCAGGCTTCCCTTGCAGCCCTGTCTTCATCCGGAAGGTCATCTGGAAGGACGTTCAGTCTAATTAGCATATTATGCTTTTATTATTATAGATTTATTCTCACCAGAGGGAGAGGTAGATGCCGAAACATTGATGTGAGAGAGACACATTGATTGGTTTCCTCCCGCACGTGCCCCCACAGGGGCCAGGGATCTAGCCTGCAACCAAGGTATCGAACCAGGACCCTAGCCGGTTTGGCTCAGTGTATAGAACGTCAGCCTGCAGACTAAAGAGTCTCAGGTTCGATTCCAGTCAAGGGCATGTACCTTGGTTGCAGGCACATCCCCAGTGGGAGTAGTGCAGGAGGCAACTGATCGATGTTTCTGTCTCATCAGTGTTTCTGGCTCTCTATTCCTCTCCCCTCCTCTCTGTAAAAAAATCAATGAAATATATTTAAAAAGAAAAAGAACCGAACCCGGGACCCTTCAGTCCACAGGCCGACGCTCTATCCACTGAGCCAAACTGGTTAGGGCTTTTTTTTTTTTTTTTTTTTTTACAAATGATCATTTATGCTTCTTAATTGGAATAGTCTTTATTTTTATTTTATCCCTTTTTTCAGTTGGCCACCTTCTTTCCTGCATCATGCTGTTTCAGTATTCTTTTTTATTTTTAAATATATTTTATTGATTGTTTACAGAGAGGATGGGAGAGGGATAGAGAGTTAGAAACATCGATGAGAGAGAAACATCGATCAGCTGCCTCCTGCACACTCCCCACTGGGGATTGTGCCCGCAACCAAGGCACATGCCCTTGACCGGAATCGAACCTGGGACCCTTCAGTCCGCAGGCCGATGCTCTATCCGCTGAGCCAAACCAGTTAGGGCTGTTTCAGTATTCTTAGTTTTCAACTCTGTCTGCATATTAGAATCACCTGAAGAGCTTTTGGGGGGAAAAAACAAAAAAACAAAAAACAAACCCAGATCTGGTCTCTTGACTTTTTTTTATTCAATAATCTGTGGCAGAGCACAGATTACTGGTATGTAATTAAGTTTTCAGTATCTTGCCTTTCTCACAAGCTAGGTCTCTATCCCCAGTGCACAGTACAGTACCTTGAACCATTTAACAACTTAATAATTGTTAAATGACTGTATCCATTTGTGACATATTTTAATTTCATATCAAAAAGAATTGGAACTATTTTTTTTTCTTTACAGCTAAACCAAGAGAGTATTTAATCTCTCTATTGGAACGACTGAGAATTGCTAAAGCAACAGGTGTGTCTTTCCCTGTCTTTATGGATCACAGTAACATTGTGGCTATGTTTGAGATGATGGACTCCGCAGGTAGAGGCAGCATATCATTTGTGCAGTACAAAGGAGGTCAGTGTCTAATGCAAACCGAGGTAACAGTTAGTAGTCATTCCATAACTTTCTCTAGCCAAAAGTGATTTGCTTTGTAAACTTTCCTTCTGATTCTGACTTTTACAGCCCTAGAGAACCTGGGCCTGTTAACTGAAGATGAAGATTTAAAAGATGATGGACGTGGAATAACTTTGGACAGATTCAAGGATGAAGTGTAAGTTCATTTTCTATTGAGTAATATTTAAAGAATATGGTTTTGAAGTACAATTAATATCTTTTAAAACAGGATCCTAACCTTTTTTTAAGTTTTTAAATTGATTTTTGGAGAGAGGAAGGGAGAGGGAGAGAGAGGGAGAGGGAGAGAGACAGAAACATAAATGAGAGAGAACCATTAATCAGCTGCCGCCTGCACGCCCTCTTCCGGGGATGGAGGAGCCTGCAACCCAGGCATGTGCCCTGACCAGGAATCAAACCAGCAACCTTTCAGTGCACAGACAACACCCAACCAACTGAGCCATACCAGCCAGGGCCAGGTTCCTATCTTTTGATAGAAACTTTCAGCTGACTAGCAAGTAAGGACAGGGAGGGATGATAGGAAAGTTCCTGAGCCTGGGGAGAGGGGAGAGAGAAAACGCTGGAGTTAGGAAGTTTCAGAGGCAGCTTCATTTCCTTAATGGGAAACCCCAGCAATTCTCAAAGAATGAGATAGAAAAGCCCCATTTGCTAGAAGGACTAACAGAAAAGCTTTGAGTGCAATACACTAGTTGGAAACTCTCAGTATAAAATAGGGTTATAGAATTTCTCTCAAAATATTTCCTCAAAATTATTTAGCACAAAGTGTTTATCAACAGTATACATTGCATGCCAGACTGACTATTTAAAATTTGAAGTATTCCAACATAAAAAGTATTAAGTAAATGCTAAATCAGAAAAAAAAAAACCATTGGAATAAAATTTGGTAGTTGAAGAAAGACTAGTCTAACTCAGTTTGTTTAAAAGTTTTACTCACTGAGCATTTATTCACAAGAAATCATTAACATAATCCAAGGCCAAGGTAAAGTTAGAAAGTTTAATATTCCCATCTCATCATCAGTTACATACGTATTAAACAAAAATTGTTTAATTACATTCCCTACCCCTCAGAAGATTAAAGCACAGTGCTCTGGCCTGAAATGTTTCATCCAAAAGAAAAGGTTGCCCACAGACAGGTGGACTAAAACAAGGAAGTATTTTATTTTTTTTTACAAGGAAGTATTTTAAATGGAAGGACATTTGTGGTAAATGAGAGCAATCCTATTTTAGTCACTATCTCTTAATGTGTTTTCTTACAGGAAATACAGTGAATTTCCAAACTAGATACAGAAACTTCAATTACAAACATGCGTTCTAAAGTGATTTTTTAAAAATTTATTTGCTGTGTTTGATTATCCACAATAGTCTCCCTTAGTTAACATAGGAAATTGAAATTTGGTTATAATTTATTATCTCTGCACTTGTATTTTATTTAACACATATTCAGCATTTATATCTGTAAATGGGATTACTCTGAGTTTCCATGGCTTCTGAGTTTTCTGTTTTTGTTTTCTTAGGGACAAAAGGGCTCAGAAAATATGGTCAGCATTTTAATAACACTGTAAGTCAAAGGTAATAAATGATTCTATAAAGTTTTCAGTTATCCAGCTTCATTAATTCGGAACTTCATCGTTTAACTTAATCCAGTTGGCTTCCTCTTTGTTCAAAAAAGGGGGGGAGGGGAAGATGCATTATTTTCCAGTGTTAGGCCAGTTTGTCCTCAAATTAAGTAGAATCTCAACATCTTGTGGAGCCAGTTTGTAAATTCCAATTTCATTTAATGCTGCTGTGGCAGGAGGCTGCCCAGAAGGTGACTGCAGGACATCTTTCAGAAGTAGTGCAGAACCAATGTTCAAATTCAAAATAATACAGGATTCTTTTACACTGTATAAAAAAGCAGGAAGGAAATGAGATCTCCATTATCTTTATCATCCACATTATTCTATAACAATTTCATTTTGAGAAACTAAAGAGCTTTCCTGCACCTCTAGTCATGTGCCCTCAATAAAAACTATGTATGGATTTATTATTTGGTTCTTTTAACATATTAGGACTATGTATGTGTACAGAGTTTATATTTCATCAGGTTACTATAAGGTAATAGCATCACCGTTTTCAATAGTATCCATTACTTCCCAAAATACAATATTTGATATTAACAGTCTATTAAATGTAGCTAAGACTCTAGGTAGATTAGGATATGGGAAAAGAGAAAATTAAGGGATGAAATGAATGCAGTAGAAAGGTAGACTACTAAAACAAAACAAAAAACAGAAATAGAAAGCTTACTGAAATGAGCAAAAATAATCTTTCATTTTATAAAAAAGAATATTTTATAATCTCAGAAAGACCCAAACAATTCAAATTTTACATCAATAATTTCTAAAAATACTTCTAAGAATTCTTCCTATAATTATATACTTAGAACTAAAATTAATGTCAAATGTTTAAAAACAAGAATTTTCTTCAAGCCTGGCCTGTTATTAGATACTAAACATATTTTTAATTTCTTACATTTATCAACTATGGTAGAACTGACCTTGCTTTCATTTTTCTATTTATTTCTCTAGTAATAAGCAAATCAGAGTATTAAAGCAAATGCTAGAAAAGAAAGCCCAACTATAATTTATATCCAGTGCTGGTGGACTTTTTGGGGTCATGGGTCAAATGTAGGATGGGCAAAAGTAGGTTCACAGTTGTGAGTATGTGAACCATAGTTTATTCTTGTATTAGTATTATTATTTCTTAATTATTGTATTATTTTCCAGATGAACTGCTATAAACCTACTTTTACCCCACCCTGTATTATTCTGATACACAATGAACATATAAAATTTTTATTTGATGCTATATACATTTAACATCATTGGAACCCTAAAGTTGTTAAAAAAGGAATTAACATCCTCTCAGGATTTGATACATCAAACTCAATTGTTAAAAACTGAGCTTACTGTTTAAAGTAATTTTCTGGTCTCTTGCAATAGTGGGAGAACAAAGGGAAAAGATTCCGAGTCATATCAAACTGCAACTGAGCTGCTCCTCCTTCATTGAAGTGATTAGCAAGAATGATCTGAAACAAAGAATAATTCATATCACAGTTGCCTTCATCATCATAGCCCCAAATAGTCTTCTCCTTACTTACTTCTTGATAGATGTATATATCCAGCTTCTCTACGAGCATTTGCCAGAAAGTTTTAAATAAAGAGAAGCAAAGCTGCTGTTCCAACTGAAGCAAACGGTCTCGTAACGTAAGCAGGAGGGGGCAAGCCGAGCTGGACAGGGACATGACTGCCTGCTCAGACTGAGAGGGCAAGGACAACCACCTGGGAAAACAAGAGCAGCACTGCCTGTAGCACATTCATTTTTACCATAAACATTTTCATCACTTTGTTTTTAAAGATTTAACGAATTTTAAATTTGGGGAAATGCACTGTCCTGAGGCATCTATATATATAAAAAGCCAGCAACAGGAATGCCAGAACGACTGGAACTACCAGACTGCAGCTGGCCAACCGGCCTGATTGGGGGTGTGGCCAGCTGGCCAATCTCCCTCGGCCCCACTCCCTGGCTGGCCCCTCCCCTGATTGGCCACCACCCACCCTGATCGGGGGCAGGGCTGGCCGGCCAACCTCCTGCATCCCCTCTGTCCTGCCATCCTGGCCCTGATCTGCCCCCATCGGGGCGGACCAGCCAGACCCCACCCATGCATGAATTCGTGCACTGGGCCTCTAGTCCATATGTAAAGGGCTAATATGCTAAGTGTCCAACTGTCCTACTGGTCGCTATGATGCACACTGACCACCAGGGGGCAGACGCTCAATGTAGGAGCTGCTGTGATGCGCACTGGCCATTTACAGAGAAATGGCACTGCGGACCTGGCACCCACAAAGCAACACTCAGCTTCCTCCAAGTGGGACACAGGCCCCACCACCACCCCGGAGCAACAGCCCACCAAAATCGCAGCCAACGCTGCCAAGACCCCATGGCGCAAAATGTGGCCCACAGCCCAGCCCAGCCCAGAAACGGTGGCTGTGGGCACCGGGTAATGACATCATGTAGCAACATCTGGATTCCTCTCCCTAGCGACTAGCCTCCTTGAAGTTTCGTCAGCCCAGGAACATGACTTGCTTTATAGCCAGGTGCAAACATTTTACATTTTAACCAAATGTCTGTGAAGTGTTTTCCCATGCCTCATCTCATTTGATCCTCACAGGATTCCTAGAGTAGGCAGATAGGAGACTCGGTGGAATCCTATTTTCTTTTCATTACCAGAAAACGGAGATTTAGAAAGCTTAGAAACTTGACCCAACTGAAAGGAAGTTGGAAATGGGGGACCTTGAAAATGACTTCAGGTTTTCTCACTGCGCAGAATATAATTAAACACTGATGCAGTTAAATATTTTACCCTTTGTTCTCCCTGCATGGTCTACAATAACAATCTGCTTCGTGTTGATATTTACTGCTATGTTGCTGACAATTACCTGAAAGAGAAGTTGGGGTGCTTCACTGGCTAAAAAAAGTTTAGCTAAATCAGAAAGCAGGTCTACTTAAGCAACTTTATTCTATATATATACAAAAGGCTAAGTTGACTCACGCATGTGTGATACATATAAAGTTCTCGCTGGCGCCAATCGCACACATGTGTTTCGATCTGTCATTGTCTATAGTGAATTTGGTTGAAACTTCTATTATTGAGAATGGGCGAATAGCGATATTAAAATATTTCTCCTAATTAATTTCCTTTCAATGTGCACGAATTCATGCACTGGGGCACTAGTTTTGAATAAGAAAAGATGTACAGCATTTAAAACTCTCTCAGAAAAATAAATACACATATATTTATACTTTAGCTCTCAAATATTGTTTATTTAGTGAAGATGATAGATTAAAATTTGTTTAAATATATTTTATTGATTTTTTACAGAGAGGAAGAGAGAGGGATAGAGAGTCAGAAACATCGATGAGAGAGAAACATCCATCAGCTGCCTTCTGCATACCCCCCACTGGGGATGTGCCCGCAATCAAGGTACATGCCCTTGACTGGAATCGAACCTGGGACCTCTCAGTCCGCAGGCCGACGCTCTATCCACTGAGCCAAACCAGTTAGGGCTTGATTAAATTTTTTAAATCCCCAAAGAGGACTTATTGAAATAATTTTAAGACAGTTAAAATGTAAAACATATTAGCATTTAAGATAACAGCTAATTTTATGCTCTAATTTTTAGCAAAACAGGGACTACACTTCCAAGTTGGTTAGGACTGTGCTAGGACAAAAAGGTATTGCTGCTGTCAAGGACCTCAGTCTAGTGGAGGTAACAGGTGTCCACAGGGAGTTATGTCAGGAGAATGAACTGGACAATACAAGCATGCACAAAGGACTGCAGCAGCCCCTTACTTTGAAAATGGGTGACAGGCTAGGCAGTGGTCGGCAAACTGAGGCTTGTGAGCCACATGCGGCTTTGGCCCCTTGCGTGTGGCTCTTCCACAAAATACCACGTGCGGGCAGGCACGTACAGTGCGATTGAAACTTCGTGGCCCATGCGCAGAAGTCGGTTTTCGGCCTGGGCAAGTCTATTTTGAAGGAGTGGCATTAGAAGAAGTGGGGGTACGTTCGCTGAGGTCAACCCCTCAGATTGAGGACGTTTTTAGCAAAGGCCAGCTTAGGAGTACCCTAATTAAATTAATAACAATGTACCTAACTATATAGTTTAAGTTTAAAAAATTTGGCTCTCAAAAGAAATTTCAATCGTACTGTTGATATTTGGCTCTGTTGACTAATGAGTTTGCCGACCACTGGGCTAGGCCGTTCAACTCATACCATACATCAGCTCTCTGTATTTATGGACACATCTGAAGGTTAAATTATGGTCAGTTTATTCTGATTAAGAGTGAATCTATTTTAGCCCGGCCAGTGTAGCTCAGTGGTTGAGCGTTGACCTATGAAATAGGAGGTCATAGTTCGAATCCCAGTCAGGGCACATGCCCAGGTTGTGGGCCCGATCCCAGTGGGGGCATGCAGGAGGTAGCCGATAGATGATTTTCTCTCATCACTGATGTTTCTATCCCTCTCCCTTCTTCTCTGAAATCAATAAAAAGAAAGTAAGTAAGAATGAATATATTTTAGACAGAAATAGTTAACTAAGCTTGGTGTGCAAAAGGCCTAACTCTGTGCTATTTAGATATCTTGGAAATCTGACAATATATATCATCTTTTATCAAACTGGAGTTGAAAGTTGACTTGTAAGAAAACACAGAGGACTTACCTTTCTTTTCTATACGATTTTGCAGCCTCTTTAACTTCTCTAAAAACATGGTCTACTTGACGGGTCAACATGTCATGTTTTAAACGCTCTAACAGGTTAATCATGTCATCAAAGACAGAGCTCTCCATAGAGGCAAGTTGTCCCAGCTGCAGTTTACTGAGAGTGTTGTTCTCTGCAAAGACCTCCAATGCCGCCTGTTGAAGTTGTAGAAAGAACTGAAAGCAAAAATATGTGAACACATTTATTGAGGTGCTTTACCAGCTTGCAATAGAACTCATATATAATTCAGTCATTTAAAGTACACAGTTCAGTGGCTTTTATTATATTCAGGG